AGGCACAGCTGGTGGTAAATCTTTTGGCGCCTTTTTCTCTTTTTTGACATTGAAATAAAGTATCTACCATGGTCACTACCAAACAAAGGCATCCTACTGAATGGATACACAGGAACTAAAATTATAAAGTATCCCTTAAATGAACACCTCTGAAACAGAATTTCATGGATGTTTTAAAATCTTTATAGCAAAAAAAAAAAAAATCTTTATAGCTAGATATGTGGTTCCCTCCAGCTGGGAGAAAGGCCTGCCCTAAAACAATTAGTTTCTATTACCAGCCATCTGCGTCCTTTACTCCCCACTCAGGGCTGCGAGGATAATGAGTCTGTCAACTTCCAGGGTACCAACACTGTCATCTTTTCTACTGGGCATCCTCCAACACACAAATGACTCATCAGAATTTCTAAAGCACAAATTAAGGTTTATTCAGACAGCTCTAAATGAGGGCCGTTTTTCTAGCCTAGATTGTTGGACAGATGAGAGTGGCCAGACCCAGCCTCATGTCAGAGAAGACAGGCAGGAGAGAAGGCAGGGGGTTGGAGGGTTTGTGTTCACAGCTGCTGCAGCCTCTGTCACCACCTACCACCATCACCTGCTTGCTTCCAAACTCAAAAAAGCCCCCTCAAACCCACTGCCAGCATGTCAGGGACTGACTCATGGCTGACCTGCCAGAAGATTTTCAGAGACTGTAAATCATCCCAGAGGAGATTGTCCATCATTCTTGGGAGAAGCCACTGGTGGATTTGAACCTGTAAGTGCACACATCTGTGTGCCATCAGAGCTCTGCTTTTCCACCCCTTTCTCGCATTTTCCCATCATTTCATGAGAGCACAGAAGTGACATTCTGTCAGTTTTGTTCACTGATATAAATTTAGTACCAAGTAAGGCAAGAGGAAGATGGACAAACTCCTCCGGTACAGTTAATTGCCTCTGAAAAGCTGCTAGAACCACCGATGGGCTGGTTCCGGCGTGATGGTGCGTAACAGCCACCACGCAAGGCATTTCAGTAATTATTTGTGGAATATAAAGAGGATATGTGGGAAAGTCTGGACGTGCTTCTGTGTGAGTGTGGTATGGTGAGGGAGGCATGACATGTGTCTCATTGTTGTGTGTTTGTGGTGTGAGTATGTGTGGATGTGCATGATGTGAGATATGGGTGTGTACATCTGTACCTATGTGCATAAGTATCTGTGAGCGGGTGGCTTACGACTGTGTGAGTGTGGATGTGTGCACCTCTGAGTGTGCACGTGTGGTGTGTAAGCATGCGTGTACTGTTGTTGTGGGCTGTCAACTTGTCACTGACTCATAGCTGACCTTCTACTGGGTTTTCAGAGGCAATAAACCAAACAGGAGCAGACTGCCCATACTTTTGTGTGTAAGTGTGTCTCCATGTCTGTGCATGCCTTATGAGTGTGTTTGTGGTTTGTACACAGTGTTTTGTGTGTAGTATGTGGGTGGTGTATGAATGTGTGTGTGTATCTGTGTTAGTCTGTGTGTCTCTGGATGTAGTGGTGCCTGAGTATCTGTGTGTGTTTTTTCATGTGTGTACAAGTCTGGACAGGCGGGTGGCTTGGGGTTGTGTGCAGTCACATGTGGGCATCTGTATGCTTTTGTACACACACATGCATCTACACACACGGTCTACATAAGCACGTGCATTTACTAAAACACACAGGCACGTGCATTTACATACACACACACACACACACACACACACACACACGCATGTTGTTGTTGTTGTTATGTGCCATCGAGTCACTTGCGACTCATAGCGACCCTATGTACAAGAGCTCTATATGCTCTTCTATCTGGTGCCAAACTAGCCATCTCAAACGCACTTATTCCCACCTCTCTAGTCACAGAATCGATCCATCTCATCAAAGGTCTTCCTCTCCTTCGCCGCCCCTCCACTCTGCCAAACCTGATGTCCCTCTCCAAGGACCAGTACCTCCTTGCAACATGCCCAAAATATGTCAGACGAAGCTTCAGAATCCTTGACTCCAGGGAACATTCTGGCTTCACCCTCTCAAGAACAAACCTGTTTGTTCTCCTAGCAGACCATGGTATATTCAACACTCTTCTCCAGCACCACAGCTCAAAGGCATCAATTCTCTTTCTATCTACCCTAGTCACTGTTCAACTCTCTGATGCATAGCACGTAATTGCGAAGACTATAGCCCGGATCAGGCGCACCTTAGTCTCCAGTCTGACATCGTTGCTCTTCAGTACTCTTGAGAGGTCCCTTACAGCTGACTTTCCCAATGCAATCCGTCTCTTGATTTCCTGGCTGCTGTTACCAAGAGTGTTGACTGTGGAGTCAAGTAAACTAAAACTGTTAACTATCTCAATCTCTTCACCATCCATACTGATGCTGTAAATTGGCCCAGTGGTTAGAATCTTTGTTTTATTGATGTTGAGCTTCAGTCCATATAGGAGGCTGTAGTCCTTGATCTTCTGCAGCAAGAGCTTCAGGTCCTCCTCAGTTTCAGCAAGCAGGGTTGTGTCATCTGCATAACGCAGGTTGTTGATGATTCTTCCACCAATCCTGATGCCACATTCCTCTTCGTATAGCCCAGCGTCTTGGATGATCTGTTCTGCATACAGATTGAAAAGGTATGGAGACAGAATACATCCCTGACGGAAACCCTTCTTGATTTTGAACCATGTAGTGTCTCCTTGCTCTGTTCTGACAACTGCCTCTTGGTCCGAGTATAAGTTTCGCATTAGCACAATCAAATGTTCTGGGATTCCTATTCTTCTCAGAGTCAGCCACAGCTTATTATGATCCACACAGTCAAAAGCCTTTGCATAGTCAATCAAGGGTGAACATAATGAAAAAGCAAAAGTGTTACGTTAATCTAGCAAGATTGTTGTTGTTATGTGCCGTCGAGTCGTTTATGATTCATAGCAACCCTACATACAACAGCCCTAAACCCTGCTCTGTCCCGTGCCAATCTCATTGTCTCTGGCACACCCACTCCCATTACTCTAGTCACTGAATCAATCCATCTCATAGAGGGTCTTCCCTCCTGCGCTATCCCTCCACCCTTTCAAGAACGACATCCCTCTCCAAGGACTGGTCCCTCCTTGCAACATGTCCAAAGTATGTCAGACAAAGCTTTAGAATCCTTGCCACCAAGGTGCAGCGTGGTTTAACCCTCTCCAGGATGAACCTGTTCATTTTCTAAGCAGTCCATGGTACATTCAATGCTCTTCTCCAGCACCACAGCTAAACGGCATCAATTCTCCTTCTATCCTCCCTAGTCATTGTCCAGCTCTCTGATGCATAGCAAGTGATTGCAAAGACCATGGCCTATATCAGGCACATCTTAGTCTCCAGAGTGACACCACTGCTCTTCAGTACTCAGGAGAGGTCCCTAACAGCAGACTTTCCCATCGCGATGTCTTTTTTTTTTTTTTAAATCTCTCTATGCAGATGATACGATAGCATACTTAGAAAACCCTAAAGACTCAGCAAGAAAACTATTGGACACAGTTGACCAATTCAGCAAAGCAGCAGGATACAAGATCAACATACAAAAATCAGTTGGGTTTCTCTACAGTGACAAAGAGAATGTAGAGCTGGAACTAAGAAAAACAATACCCTTCACAATAGCTAATCACAAGATTAAATACTTGGGAGTAAATTTAACCAGAAGCACAAAAGATCTATTCAAAGAAATTTACAAAACATTACTACAAGAAACAAAAAGAGACCTGGAGAAGTGGAATAATATCCCTTGCTCATGGATAGGAAGACTCAGTATTGTGAAAATGGCAATACTGCCAAAGGCAATTTACACGTTTAATGCAATCCCATTACAAATACCAATCCCATTCTTCAATAAGATGGAAAAGGCAAACTCCAGTTTCATTTGAAATGGAAAGAAGCCCTGGATAAGCAAAGCACTCCTTAAAAATAGAGGAAACGAAGGAGGTATCTCACTCCCTGATTTCAAATCCTACTATACAACCATAGTGGTCAAGACAGCATGGTACTGGTACAATGACAGACACATGGATCAATGGAATAGAATTGAGAACTCGAAGATCAGCCCATCTATCTATGGTCAACTGATTTTTGACAAGGAGATGAAATCAGTTAAGTGGGAAGATGACAGCCTTTTAAACAAATGGTGTTGGCAAAATTGGAAAAGTATCTG